CAGCGAGTCGAGCGGAGGAGTTGGCACCGGGCATCGGCTGGCTGTGGGAGCCAGTTCTCGGAAGCGAGTAATCTGCAGGCGAGACAAAGCATCAGCAAGGCAATTATCAACACCGGCAATGTGCCGTAAAAACAATATGAAATTGCCAGATGCGGCCTGAGCAAGCAAGAATCTGATAATGTGCATTGCATTCTTGTTGCGGCATGAACCTTTCTGCCACGCTAAAACAGCAGCTTCATTATCGCAGTGAAACATAAGGCGCTTGCCTGACCAAGAATGTCCCCACACAGCGCATGCTAGAGCAATTGGAATCAGCTCACGAACCATAATCGGTTCATCCCGCATCTCAGCAGCCCATTGCCCCAAAAACCATTGTCCGTCGTAGAAGCCACCGAAGCCAACATCCGAGGCATCCGTAAACAGCTTGAGGTCAGGGGACTTTGACCACTGAACATCATGAAAGAATGATTTGCCGTTCCAGTTCGCCGCGAAGCCACACCACCAGTCAATGTCCAGGTGGGCTTCTGTGTCGATGTTGATGACTGACTGGAGGAATGGAACTGTGCAGCTTAAGTCAATGAGGCGGCGGATGAAGGTCCTGCCAGGAGGAACGACCTTGGCAGCGAAGGACAGGGTGCCTATCAGCGATAGCAGTTCCCGCTTTGTGCAGGTAGAACGCGTTGACCAGTCGCTCAAAGCCTCGAGCATGGCAGATAGCTTCTCCTCAGGGAGCCGCATCACCTGCTCCACGCTGTCAACTTCTATCCCGAGTACCGTCACCACTGTTGCTGGGCCGACCACCTTATCTGCGCCAGTGGCGACTGGAATGCCGAGGTTGTCGAATACCTGCAGAACCGTTGCTTTTTGAATAGCTGCTGTAGAGCGGTGGACAGATGAGCTACCGGTAGGTGGTGCGACTCCGATGTAATCATCGAGATAGTGCTCCAAGTCATGAATGGAATAGTTATGACGAAGAATCCAGCACACCGCCTCAGCCAGGGTGTTGAACAATGCAGGTGATGATCGCAGTCCAAATGGAAGCACCTTGTCGACGTAGTAGCGACCTTGCCACACCACGCCGAGCAGAGGACAATCATCAGGGTGCACTGGAACATTGCGGAATGCATGCTGGATGTCAACTTTGAACATTAGAGCACCCTTGCCATGACGAATAACGTGACGTACAATATCATCAACAGTCACATACATCAAGCTGTATTGGTCCTCGGAGATGCCGTCACTGATACTGCGTCCGGCCGGGGCGGAGAGGTGCACAATGAGTCTGTGCCCACCAGACTTCTTAGGCACGACACCTATGCCAGCTGATCGAAACGGCACACAGGGTGGTGCAGGGAACGGCCCGGCAGTATGACCACGTAAGCACTCCTTAGCCAGGTATTCCGAAACAATGTCAGGAGTGTCAAATGCAGAAGATAGATTAGGACAGATAAGGGAAGTACGGGGACCAGTGTAACCAATATGAAAACCGTGTGTTAAACCATGTAGAAGTGCTGCTACCATTCCTCTATCGGGGTAGTTAGTGAGTTCGTCTGCCAAAGCGTCGACGTCCACTGGGGTAGATGGGCGGTGCTGCGGCAGCGGTGCATCCGAAGGCAAACTACTTGGCCTTGGCAAGGCCGGGGCAGCGGCTGGCTCCGTGTCCACTGGTTCCGCAGGAGGAGCACACGTGCCGGTATCGGCAGATGCGAAAGCTACACGTGCCTTTGTTGAAGGCGTCACAGGTGTGAGTGGCGCTGCCGGCAGACTTCTGTGTTTGAGTCCGTGAAGTAGACAAGCAGGACGCAGCAACATGTCCATACTTGTTACAAGCGGAGCAAAATGACAGGGACTGGCCGGTGAAACAACGTGTGTATAGGTCCATGTCAATCTTGTCCCACTGCACCTCCGAGCAGTGTGACGCTCTCTGGCGGAACTGAACATCGTAATCAGCTACTGCCGCCCATCTGAACCGCTTGGCCGCCTGCAAAACCTGCAGTTGATACCCCCACAGCTCCTGAGACTTGGCCGGCTGCTGGTCAGAAATGATGCAACAGTAAGTCGTCCACGCCTCAAGCCACATGCTGGGGGACGCGATCTTGGTTCTCGCCGCAGATGCTGCTGTGACCACCAACTGGCCGTCTTGCTCGGAGAAGCGAATGCGCTTCTGAAGCGGTTCATCGGCGGAGTTGACGGGACCGGCGGGGGGGGGCAACAGGCAGCTGAGATCAACAAATTCCCCCCTGAGTAATTTTGTAATAAACGTCATGCTCACATGGCTATAAACGGCAGAAGCTCGAGGCTTACCCGAGGCAGGCGTCGGGGACGAAGTTGCTGCTGCTGGTACAGGCACAGAGGGTGGGCTGGCTGTCACGGCTGGCTGGCGGTCGAGAAGGAGATCGTCAGGTCCATCCTGAATTTCGGGCACATCACGGACTTCGTCCGGCGCGTCCGCCGTTGGAGCAGGAGCAGGGGCTGTCAGCTGTGGCAAAGCTGCCGAGATGGACGCCGCGATCATCTGTTGCAGCTGCGCTGACTGCCTCGCAGTGAAACCACCCCGCGACATTGTAAACCAAAGAAAACACAGCCCTGAGCCACCTTGACCAACTGGCTGACAAAAATTGTTGACAAGGATGTTGCTTTGCTGACACAAGGCAAGGCAAAGCGGCCACGTAAACTTATATTTTTTACATCCGCCATTTTCGGAAAATATTATTTTTTATTCATCAGGTGCACGTGCCGCGTGACGAACCCGGGACCAACACGTGCATGCGTGGGCTAACTTGGCTTTGCTGCTCAAAGCCGTCATTTTAATCCCAAAATGTGGCTAGTGCGAAATGAATCCTTCCCTATATTTGGGGCCTGTGAAAGACACACCCATACGCTCGCAGTTATGTCGTGAAATAAGAGAAAAACCTACTTTTACAAACAGGAGTTCGCTTTTCATTTGTTTCTATGAGGCAGGTTTGTACTAAACCACGATATAAGTGCATTTCAATTCTTTTTCTGGTATTCAGGACCACTATAATCACACAGTCCGTGCAGTCCTTGCTAGCTACCGCACGCGAGAGATTTTTATGGCGCTCGCTTGTTCATACTTGCTCTGTGACGCCCCGACGGCCTTAGGGCTATGGGCTTATGATGATGATGATGATGATGATGATGATGATGATGATGATGATGATGATGATGATAATCACACACTGTTGAGGCAAATAGACTGGAATCAATTACGAGAGAAGATCATTTCTTCGCATATTTATGCAAACAGTGGGTAAACGAGTCCAATGAACGAACTCCATTTTGACATAACTTTACGATACTGACGTAATGCGATGCAAATAGCAAGAAAAACTCAATCATTTTCGGGCCAATTTTGCAAAATTTAAATTTCAAAGCATTTGGAACTATATCGAATCGGGGTTCGGAATACCTGTTCCGTCTCCTCACACAGAAGTCTGTACTTTCAACCAGTGTATTTTTACTGATAAATCTACCCTGATATGTTCTGAAACTATGGGAATTACTGACATTATTGCAAGAAGCAACAGATAAAGGTTGGAAGCATTTTATTGTCCTCAATGTAAACCTGTCTCTCTCTTAGAGAACGCCTTGTTGGGGCTACTTCGAGGGGCCATAACCCCTCCAAAGTGCCCAATTACATACCCTAATATATTGATTTTCTCATTCTGGGCACCCATAGCATTGCAGAAAGGCGTTAAACTGGTAAATTTTCGGAAAAAGTATTTCGTTATGCTACCTTAAAATACTCAAGTGTACATCTGCTTTGTCGTGATTCCTTCTTGCACGGCGTGACATCGCTGTGCATGTGAAACTCACATGCACTAGCTGTCCGGCACACGAGAACTTTCTGGGCAATCGTGTGTGCTTTCCTGCCACATGGCTGGATTCAGCTAGTGCATAGCCGTTGGAGAGTATATGTTTGATCATATCCCCAAGCGAGGGACTGAAGTGACTACTCAATGAAAGGATATATAAAAGAACAGCAAAAAAGATCTTCTAGGCAGACTGAAAATAGGAGAACGCTTGCTTGCCAAGCACATAAAGGAACATCAATGACGCTAACTTTCACCTCTGCATTCTTGATTTAGTGCGGCACGATTTTCTCTGTATGGTCACTTGGATGTAGCACAACATAAGCATTGATCATATTTTTGGCTAGCACGAACAGAGAGACTTACCATGCCAGGCATGAAACTTTGAGTCACGACAAACCCAAACTGAACCTATTTCTCTTTTCCGTGTGAAACGCTCCGCATTTTGTGCACTGAGCACTTTGCGGGCATTTGCCAAAATTACTCCTTTGTATCTATCTAATATCCATCTAAATTGTCATAGTCGAAGTACAGTGCGGTTTTACAGAGGCATTCAGTTTTGCATGGTTCGTGTTTGCCTAGCTTCCCCTTGTATTGATCTTCGCATCTTTGAGCCACACAAGTTGTGTGAATGTTGCTTTGCATCCTTGAATCGTGGTTTGACCGTATTGTCCAGTGGTTTTGCCAGTATCGTCATCGACATACATGAACATCCGCCAACGTCCTTTACAGCTGAGACTTACAGCTCGTGCTTGTCTTGGTTGCGCTCACCTTCCCCTCCTCATGTTATCTCTATAACTTAGAACCTTCCAAGTTGGAAGGCTGTTGGAGTGCGCATCCCAGATGTTCTAGAGCTGTTAGTCAGTTAGTTGTAGAACGTCAGTACCGTCGTTTAGTGTCGTGCAATGTTATCGCTTGGGCTGATTGTTTTGTAACTGGTGGTGTTATTGGACATTATAGCGTAACTTGTAGTTTCTTGGTCCTTTTTTCTTTACTATACATTAATTTACCCTTGGCTCCCCATCCGAGTCCATTCTTGCATCTGTCTATCTATCTATCCATCCATCAATTAATCCATCCATCCATCCATACATACATACATAGATCTATCTTCTCTTTCTTTCTCTTTCTCTATTTTTTGATTTTACGATAATTATTGGTGTACAGGTATAAGTTGTCAAGACCAAGGACAGCTTGCCAATGGATATAGCACATCGACAGGTCAACAATTTGGTAGTACAGTAACATATCAATGTCATACAGGCTTCTACATGGTGGGTTCTGTAACTGCACAATGCATGGTCAACAAAATGTGGTCTCATAATAAACCCACTTGTTTACGTAAGTACAAAATCATTCTATGTTAAAAGTACAGTTTGATGTATTTTCCATCCCAAAACCTTTCAGATATGTAGCACAGTCCAAGTACAGATTTGTATATCATGATTGTGTTACGCAGAGGTGCTACTCATTAGCAGAGGCATACCCCATGTGCGTTTCAAAAGTATAGATCTCTAGACTTTTTCAAATAATTCAAATTTGGATTGAGGTTTTTGAAAAATTTCTTCAGGACTTTGCTCGGACAATTTTCGCAATTTTTCTCATATGAATTTTGAAATGATGGCACAACTTTCATTTTTGGCGGGAAATATCTCACATTCAGAATCAAATTGGATACTCAAGGAATTGAGAAACGGGTAATTTTAGCGACTATTAATTTTAGCGTTTTCCCATTGTCAACTGGTTAGTACCATATCCCTCACACACTCATACTCAGCCCAAGGCAACAAGGAATTGTTTTGGAGATAGTGTGCTGCTTCGAGTAACTGGTCTTGTAATGCAAAAGCTCGAAGAGCTGGAAAGCAATGCCAGGCCACTGGCAGCAACTGGCTCGCGAGGAGCCGCAATAAACCCACATTGTGCCACAATGGGGTTGCAAGGCAAAGCCAATGCAATTGGCAACAACTGGCTCGTGAAGAGCCGCAAATAGCGAAGCAAGTGACCAGTTAGGAGCGATAGAGCTCCACAAAGCAGCAACACTATCCCCAAACAACCCCCCCCCCCCAGCATTAAGAAATTATCGAGCAGTGACATTCCTATGCTAGGACTTCAGGGATGGAACATAAACTGTCCGTGCAAAGAATCAGATAAGGTCACTCACTGAGGCAAGCTGAGCTGAGATCTTGGACTTGGTCTCCATTGGAATTCGCATATAGCGTAGACACGTCGCTCTGACACCTGCCGGCAGAACGAATCAGCGAATCGGGTATCCCTGCCATGGCAGCGGTAGTAGCTGCGCCAATTCGGAATGAGTGCCCCGAGTAGAGTTCGATGTTTGGCACCGCAGCCTTTTCAAGCAGCAAGCGCGCAGTACTGGTGAAAACAGCTCTGGATAACGGCACACCCTTGGCAAGTACATACAGAGGAGTGGATGCGTTTCGACTGCCAATCATCGCCAGGTAGCGTAGCATAGCATACACAGGGCAGTAAGGGCGACCGGCCGGTCCAATGACAATATGGACTCCCTTTCCAAATTGGTCTGTCTTTGATCTCTTTAGCAGGATGGTCATGCTGCCCGACTCAAATCTGATACACTCTCTTGTAAGGCCCTCTGTAAATTCGGAGCACCTTAGGAAACCAAAGAATGCCAACAGCACAGCAGACTTGAAGAGAACTCGGTCATGCTCGGGCAACACGGGGAGGTGATCACAGGCATCGACTAATTTCCTTAGAGTTGGCATAGTTATGGGCAATCTAGGCTTTACTGTCTCGGTCCCATGGCACCGTTGAACACCCTTCAACACTCTCTTGAGAAGCCAGGTCTCGATCAGGGGATCCTCTAGACCCTGTTCAATGTGTGCATACCGTACAGCTTGCAAATAAACAGATATCGTGCAAGGGCGGACAGAGCGAGCAAGAAAAGCGCAAAAGCAGCTGAGGGTAAGATCAGAAGCTGGGTAAGGTTGCAGATTGCAAAGGGAGCAGAAACTGACAAAACGACGCTCACCGGCAGAGTAGGTGCGTCTGGTATTAGGAGCAATTGCACAGGCAGCGTACTTAGTAACTTCGCTCACAAGACTGCTGGAAGACGAGCACGGTCTGGACTCGGCCGCGCTAACGGAGCATGACGTCGAAATTCCTGCATAAGAAAACGAGAAAGGCAATCTGCAATGACATTCTTGGAGCCAGCAATGTGCACAGCGCTAACATGAAAGTTGAACTCATAGCAAACGAAGAACAGTTCGCGTAGCAACTTCATCACAGCTGGGGCTTTGCACGTGCCCGAACGGATGCAGTCCACTACCGCCGAGTTGTCGCAGTGTACCCGAATCCGGAGCTTAGCCCATTCGTCGCCCCATGTGGCGCAGGCTGCTACGAGGGCAAACAGCTCCTTCCACTCGATAGACTGCAGCATCTGGGCACTGTTCCATGAACCTTGAATCCACTTCCCGTTGTTGTAAGCACCCCAGCCGTGAGTGCCACTTGCATCTGTGTATAGCTGGAGATCTGGTGATGGGGTCCAGTTAGGGTGCAAGAAGAAGGACTTCCCGTTCCACTCACTTAGTAGCCTCATCCACCATAGCAGGTCATCCACGCATTCTTGGGTCAAAGTTATTGAGTAGTGTGGTTGCTGAAACCGTGAGCAGAGGGACCACAGACGACGCATGAAGGTACGGCCTGGAGTGATGACACGGGCAGCAAACGAGAGCTTACCCAATAGGGACTCGAGTTGGCGTTGGGATATCTTCCGGCTGTTGATCGTGCTGGCCAATAGCGATCTGAGGTCGTTGAGCTTGTCCATGGGGAGCCTGGCCTCGAGCCGCTCGCAGTCCAGAATAATGCCGAGGAACGTCAGTGATCTCGCAGGACCTTCCACCTTTGCTGGCGCTAGCGGCACGCCCAAATAGATGAAGGCTCGCAGCAGGATTGCTAGTTGACGCTGGGCGACAGTATGGCCAGTTGTGACGTGTAGGAAGTCGTCCAAGTAGTGGAATAGGTCGGCAATGGAGAAATGGTTCCGGATAATCCACTCTATGGCCGAGGCAACGGAATCGAAAATGGCTGGGCTGGAGCGAAGCCCAAACGGTAGCACCCGCTCGTAATAGTAGTTGCCTTGCCAGAATATGCCGAGTAGTGAGTGGTCTTCAGCACGAACTGGGATTTGCCGGAATGCACTTTTGATGTCCAGCTTTGCGAGGTACACCGGCTGAGGTGAGGACATAATAGACTCGATTGCATCGTCAATACTGATGTAGTGCAGGGAAAACTGGTCAGCTGGAACTCCGTCGTTCACACTATTACCGGCGGGGCTAGAAAGATGGTGAATCATACGAAGCTTGCCGTTCTTCTTCGGTACCGCGCCGACACCAGAACAGCGCATGGAGGTGAACGGGGCTGCACTAAAAGGACCAGCAGTTTCGCCACGCTGGCAAGAAGCATAAAGCTGGTCAGAAATAAAGGAGGCACAAGCAGCAGAAGATGGCAGATTAGCAGACTGGACAGAAATGTCGCGTGAAGCAGTGAAACCTATGCTAAAGCCGTAGCGCAGCCCGTTTAGCACATAGGAAGCAAATTCTTTATCGCGGTGATGACGCAATAGAAGCTCAAAACGAGAGACATGCAAAGGGGTATGTACAGAGGAATTATTAATGTGAGGGGGAACAAAATTATGTACACATGCAACAGTTATTGGTTGCTCAGGCTGGGATTGCAATCCCGAACTACTGGGCTGGTCGCTGACCTTTGCCGGAACACTTGCTGCGGGGGTGGTCCTTGCCACAGCGGTTGCAGATGTGGGAGAACCGGCAATTTGACCAGCTACACTTGCCAAGGTTGAAGTTTCGGCAGATGACGGCACCTGCGTTGTTGCGGGTGAGCAGTGAGGATGATGATGTTTGAGCTTGGTGTGCATGTTTGGGACGAAAAGGACACATGTTGCTTGCAGCCGCTGGGTGGACAAGGCTGCACGACTGACATCTATGCCTGGCCTTGCCTGTGATGCACAGCTGCCATGTATTTATGTCAATCGTATCAAAGCGCTTGCCAGGTTGTGAAGCGACAAGCCTTCGAAATTGCTGGTCATACATAAGCCAAGCCTCTGCAAAATACTGCCTGTTGGCCGCCAAGATCATGCACTGGTATGACAGGAGTTCTGCTATGCGGTGGGGTGCATTGCTGATCACAACATGCATATACAGAGACCATGCTTCTAACCAAGTGGCGATATCGTGCACACGTCTACGAACCGGGCGAGTGGTGTTCACCTCTACGACTTCCAGTGCACCCCCGGATGAACTGGATCTGAGCTCGAACGACTTATTGCTATCAACTGCCCCCAAGATCTCAGGCAACAATTGGTCGAAGTCCACAAACTCACCTCGCAATATCCTATCCTGCGCCGACTTTGGGACGTGCAGATTTCCAGCGTGAGGCGGTGTAGAGCACGCAGCACCCATGCTAATGTCGGATGACGCAGCTGGGGGCGCTGGTGCCGCACTTGGCTGCGACAGAAGAGAGGCTCCAATCTCGTCTGTGATGGCAGAACGAACTTCAGCCCGAATAAGTTCGCGAATACCAGTCGGATCCAAGGTGACCGGGGGATCGGCGAGCACCTCGCATGTATCCACGGTGGGTTCGGCAGAGTCGTTTGCTGAAGGTTGAGTTGGACCCAGGTTTTCTCTCTGCATGTCGTCCAGCAATCTCTGAACCAGAATGGATTTCTTTCCGGTGGTCAGCAGACCTCGATCATATATTGGATACTCAAGGAATTGAGAAACGGGTAATTTTAGCGACTATTAATTTTAGCGTTTTCCCATTGTCAACTGGTTAGCGACGTTTTATTTTAGCGATTTTCAGCGATTATACTCCCGGATCACCAGTGCACTACTAATGTCTCAACGGATTAGCGACTTGAAACTTTAGCGAAAATGAGTAGATCGCTAAATTCGCTAGGGTTTTTACGTCGCTAAAATTACCTGTTCTACAGTACTTGCTAGTTATCATCAATACCACCTGACAAATGATACCATAACCTTTTATTACCATTAGTACAGGTAGATAAGTGTTCTCAATAACTTTCTGTCTTATTAGCTCGGTAGAAAGTCACCGCATTTGATTTTCGGGGTCGGTTCGGAAAAGTCCTCCAAACAACGACTGCTGTAGAACATACGATCTGTCTGTCACAGGTATGGAAAGCAATTCCAAAAGATCTTCGGCATGCAGAGTCATGAATGCAGAAGTATATTACACAACTGTACGCACAGTCTGTCGGGTACCTCCCGGGACACCCACAAGCAATATTCTTACACGCATGAACATCCAAACATTGACCACATACGCCAACATGCACCTTCTGGTTTTTATCTGGCGTTGTCTCCATGACTCCTCTAACATCAGCATGTTGTTCGCTAACTTTTTCAGCCGCAGTAATTCCACTCAAACTCGTGGTGGGCACAGCAATTTACTGATTCTCCCAGCCAGCCCAACTGCATATCTTGCCAAACGTGTTACCTATGCTGGGACCATCTTATGGAACCAGCTCCCCGCTGCGGTCAGGCAAGAAAGAAAACGCAATCGCTTTAAGTCAATGGCTCTTGCCTTTTTGCTTACCAGATATATAAGCCTTTTTACAAATGCTGTATGCACTGCTCTTTACGTTATTTTCTCCCTATGCAAGTTGCAACTCCTGTTTTGAGTTGTTTTTCTTCTCTCTTTTTCTTTCCTTACTAGTTGCTGTTATACTCACTGATCCTTATGCACAGTTATACAGCATTCCCTCACTAGTGGGACCATTGTTATTAGGCTGGGGCCTGTTTTGGACTTCCCACTCTAAATAAAGAATACATACAAACAACAACAAACAAACTGAAGCAACATCGATAAAATAAATTTAATAACAGTTAACACACCCATCTGCATGCACACTACACAGCATTGAGAGCATTGAGTTGTGGGGATAGGAGTGGTTTGTCAATCGCTGTGTGCCAGGCTCGCAGTATTATTTTTAGTGGCAGCAGGGTGAGTGACCCTGGCCGCATCTTTATGTTGGCGGCAAGGTGAGTGACCCTGTCGCATCTTTTGAGAGCCGGGTGGGCTGTGTGAGCCGCACTGGCAGGATGAGCCTGGTGAGCGAGATTGACTCCCCTCTTTATTCAGTTATTTAAACTGAAGAGATGTGATATTGAATGTTGGTTATTGTGATACCAAGAGGAAAGTGAAGATGTGACTCAGCATGGTGCAGCACAGCAGAAAAGAAGCAGAGGGCATGGGAGGGTGGGCTTTGAAGAGAGTCACCAGTCAGCCTTGCAAATCTGAGCAGGAAGCAAACTGTGAAGTGTCCGGTGCGGCGCATGCACCTTCTGTGTTAACTTATTTTTGCGCACTCGCAAAAATTCATTTAACCCTTTGGAGTCCATGGTTCGATTTCGAACCATGGGCATTTTGTATGCATGTGGGCACAGTCAAACGTTCGGTTCTCGGCCAAATGGTAGAGAAAACTCTCCGCTATCGCCTCGAACAGCTCCGAAGTCTCTGCGATGAAGTTTGAGTGAGCGGCGAGCGATCGAACATTTTGAATGTTCTGCGCTGCGTGCTGCGAGTCAGCAGTGCGTGGAAAAAGGGATTTTCCCAGCTTCACGACAGGCAGCAAGTGCCAGGACCGGCACGGCGCAAAGTCACGGCAAGGTAAGCTTCTACTCGAAACAAATTGAACAGTCAAAAAGTATTCTTTCTAGACCAAAGAGTGGTATATTTGATAACATTTAATAACGATAGAAATTTTTACGATACTTCTCCAGACGTTTCGTTGTTCTGAACAACATCGTCAGTGGATAAAGAAAATTGAACAGTTCCGAGCTAGATTCAGTGAAATGGCTTCAGGAGACCGATTTCGTCTCAGATCTGGAGCTGGACTTGCGTTTGGAGCGCATTGTGGCGGACAATGAGTAGTGCTCTTGGCGAGTTTGGGCTCATTGTATTTCTCTCATCAAGAGCTTTCCAACGAGCCCAAGATCTTCAAAATCGGTGAAGTAGAACCAAAGTTATGTTGGAAATCGAGTGCGCATTTTCGTGACACAAATTCTGCGGAAGCAAAAAAGTTATGGACTCCAAAGGGTTAATACACCCATCTGCATGCACACTACACAGCATTGAGAGCATAGAGTTGTGGGGATAGGAGTGGTTTGTCAATCGCTGTTTGCCAGGCTCACAGTATTATTTTTAGTGGCAGCAGGGTGAGTGACCCTGGCCGCATCTTTATGTTGGCGGCAAGGTGAGTGACCCTGTCGCATCTTTTGAGAGCCGGGTGGGCTGTGTGAGCCGCACTGGCAGGATGAGCCTGGTGAGCGAGATTGACTCCCCAAATTGATAAAGCCCCGTATTCCCACTACGACACCAGAGATTGCGCAATAGTTGCCTAGTGTGATAAGGCAATGGGCAAAAAAGAAGCTGGGGCACAGCAGAGTGCCGGGACAGAAAATGACAGCAGAGCTGTCAATGTGTTCAGAGATCTCAGTTCGGGTATTACAGCTTACCGGCTGAGAGATGGGCTTTGAAGAGAGTCACCAGTCAGCCATGCAAATCTGAGCGGGAAGCAAACTGTGAAGTGTCCGGTGCGGCGCATGCGCCTTCTGTGTTAACTTATTTTTGCGCACTCACAAAAATTCATTT